ATTTTATTTTCTTTTTTATTAATTTTATTGAGAAACAAATAGTAATGAGACAGTTTCAAAACAGGTTAGTAGGACAGTTACAATAATTAATACATTGTATATTTTTGTCTTCGAGGTGGTTATTCATAGTACAAGATGTAGTCATGATATCCTGTCCAAACACTATTAGTACAAATCTTTCTTCTCACTGAACTAAGAGAAAGTAGCTGAATATCTATCCTAACTATTTTATATATACAGATACAAAATGATCCTTCATTTATATCCCCCTTTTTTGCTGTTTAGTTCTGTCAGAGATGGGTATTCCATTGCCATTTAAATATTTTAGGTGCATGAATTCAGCAAAACTTCTGACATTGCCAGTCCTATGGATATCCCACTACTATTATGGACTACCAGACTATATTGGATTATTTTGCTGAATTCACACACCTAAAATATTTTGTGTTTGGCTTTTTGATCTTTTTCTTTCAACAAAATCTTTGTTGGGGTGGGGTGGGGGTTGGTTCCCACAGCCCATGGTGGCACTCCCCACAGTGGCACTCCCCTCAGTGGCTGGAGTGTGGATGTTCTCCTTCTACACACGATGTGATTTTCCTTCCCTTCTTTCTAGGCCATTGCATTAGTGACCTTGAGGCCAGGAGGGCAGTAAGGAGAAGACAGTCTGAGCGGTATTTCTGGACCTGTCAAATGCATTTATCACGTATACAGATTTATTTTAATTCATATATTCATATGTATATATTCATATATAGGCACAAACATTTAGTATCTATGTAACTAAGATTTGCAAGGATGCTTACACATATTAGCGATTTCTCTGGACAAGTGTTGACATGTGTGTGCTCTGGGGGAGATCGCCTTGATGTGCATATCTGTACATGCAAAGTGAGGGGGAGTGTGTGCCTGTGTGTTTTTATCACCACTGAAGAGAAACAATCCCACAGCTCCTCATTTGTGATAAAGAATGAAACATGGATTCCCTCTGACATTTGAGTTTTCACATCTTGCTGACAGAAGGGAAAGGAGCAATAGGTTCTGACAGCTCTGCTGACGGGGCTGAGCCTGGCCCTCGGCCCTTCCCCCCACAGCCTTCTGCAACTGATGCCTGTGCTGCTTTTCTGACACCGCTTCCTTTTGGCCTGCAGGTCCCTGTCTGGACGCATCGTTGGTGGTGTCTGGTGGTTCTTCACCTTAATTATCATCTCCTCCTATACAGCCAATCTGGCTGCCTTCCTGACTGTGGAGAGGATGGTGTCTCCCATCGAGAGTGCAGAGGACCTAGCAAAGCAGACAGAAATCGCCTATGGGACCCTAGAAGCAGGATCCACTAAGGAATTCTTCAGGGTAAGGCTCCTCATGCTGAGGCATGCTCACAAGAGAACCACCACTGCCATTAGAACTTCCTTCTCACTAAAGAGCATAAGATCACAGGCAGGCAGGGAAACTGCTACCCAGGTGCAGGTCAGGAAAACTCAGTACTCCCCTTTCCAGGAAGCCCAAATACAAATACACAAGAAGACATGACTTTCCATTTAATTCATGCAGGTCTGTTGCCTCCTTATATTAACTTTTACAGGTGCTCAACTGTCTTCAATATTTCCATCTTTGAGAAGCTCAGGAGAGGATTTTAATGCTGAAATTCACTCTTGGTGTTCACCCTCAGAAGCCCTCTGCTCCATGATGGGCTAGAATCCAAAGCTAGCAGTCACTTCTGCACTGTCACAGGGAGCCCTGTGTCTGGTGCCCAGAGCTCAGGATCTAGGTTCTCCTCAGAGAATGGGCACTATGCTCTTGTTCAGCCCAACAGTGAGGAAGACTTAATAAAGGGGATTTCTACAACCCTGGGAAATATATACTTCTACTTGTGCAGTTGCTTCAAAGCTCCAAAATTGTTTTAAACCTTTTCCACATGCTAAGCCATTCTAATTCTCTGAAAGATTCAAAGGATATTAAAGACAACTCCTTATCTGTCCCCACAAGAATGCAACAGTCTTGTTAGTGATCGATTAGGCATACTTTATGGATAAGACTGAGACAGTGCTCTTTGAGTTCCCTTCAATATCACAACAGGAGCTCAGGGAATGTTTGTTAGCCTGATGAATGAGAAGATAGTATATTAAAAAATAACTGGATTAAGCAATTCATTAAACTGTGCCAGGAGAGAGAGAGGAAAAAAGTGAAGGAGGTGGTGAGATGGCTTCCAGCTGGAGCTGTGAACAGAGATAGCAACGGGCCACAGAGAGCACAGGCTCAGGTCAGGTGGGTGGAGTCCAGGAGTGACTTGTTCTGCAGACTTACCTCCTTAACGCCATTTCCATTCATCTTTAAAATAGGGAGAAAAATGCTTGTCTCAGATCACATCTGTGAGGGTAAAAGAGATAAAGCAACTAAAATACACGGAAAAGCAGAAAACACGAATGGCAGCTCCACTTACCCTTAGGGCTTCAGGGTTGACCTGAAAACATTCTAGATATCATAAAACCAGGTCAGACCTAAGTGGGTAAGTAAATCATAGGTAGAAGGAACAACTTGGACCAAAGCCCAAAAGCAAGAGACCTAGACAGTGGGCATGTCCATCTGGGGACATGAAACTAAAATAGTTTGACCAAGTAAAACTAATAAATAATCACTACCACAGACTCGGCCCCCACCATGAACCAGGTCCTGTGGTAGGCACACCCTAGGTGAATGACATCACTTAAACTTCTCAATAGACAGAAGTCAGACATTGCTGTCCCATCTTGTAGAAGAAGCACCAAGAGGCAAAGGCACTAGCCTGAGGTCACAGACAGTTAGTAGCGAAATGAGCTGGGAGTGAAGCTCAGCGAGGAGGCTGAGGGCCTCATGGACTCACATGCATTTTCGCTGCACCTTCACAGAGCAGAGCCCAGGCCCCAAGGGAGCCCCTGAGGCCTGTGTGCAGTGCCTCAGTCATGGGCTTCTGTTCTGTGTGACCAACTGGAAAGGGACCAGCTTCTGGGCCCTCCCTGAGCCCATCAAAGCTACAATTCTCTGTAGTCAAAAGATCAGAGCAGAAGGGTACCTGTGTAGTCACTGGGTCAGAACTTGTATTTTTCCAAAGAGGCCTGACTTGCTTAAACTCACCTTGCTAATTAGCAGAAAAATCTTCTTATGATGCTGCAACCTTCTTAGCCTGCAACAAAAGTGGGAAGGAGATAGCTAACAATTGTCAGTGAAACCAGTCCTATGCCCCAACCCTTGCTGCACTCGGAGAACAACCCAGGCCACTCAACGATACCACCGTCTCTAAGATATGCGCAGCCTGTGTCGGTCCCAGAGGACTTTCAGGCCTGTGGTCTCATTTATATTTGATCTGTGACCCAAGGCAGAACAAGGATTATGGTGTCTGCCCAAAGATAAGAAATTAGATTCAATTAGATTCAGGAAATTCAAGTGTCATGGGAAGAAACTAAATCTAAGGGTTTTTTTTTTTTTTATTTCAATCCAAGTATTCTTTCCACTGAACCACATTGTCCTGATGTGATACCATTATAACAAATGTTCCTATAAAGATCTTTGTGGGTATCAGGTGAACTTGTGGATGAGTCTATTCTATTCAATTAATACTTGGGGAAATCAAGGTCCAGCCTTGCTTAATGGGATGGACTGATGAGACTTAAGACTTTAAAGTTCTGTGTTAATGACAGTATCAGTTGAGCTATTACTGCCTCCCACTCACAGCACAAAGAATCGGGACCCAAGCAGTGTATAGTCTCCAAGGTCTGTGCTTCAGCTAGCTTACTATATTGCTGGGGAATAGGTTCTGAGATATATGCTGGCTCTGACTGATCAGTAGTGGTTACTCGATCCTGTGTTGAGAGGGATTCTCAGGTCACATTTAGGCTTTTTCAAAAAATTCTGTGATTGATATGGATGCCTTCTGTGTAACACAGATATAAGAAGAGAAACTGGTGTCAAGGAAGCATCTACGTAGCACTGCTACCTAAAATAAACCCTCAATAAAGGAATAATTACCAGTAGTAATTGCACCACTTACAGAGTGCCTTCTTCATGCCAAGCACTTGGTTAGCTTTTACCCATAAGTCTGTGCAGCAGTACTGTATGATGGGTAACTACTATCATCGTAGTCAGAAGAGAAGTGGTGAGGCTCAGAAAGGTTATTATTTACCCATGATCCTGCAGCCAATAGGATATAAAACCTAAAATGAGAGAGAAAAGTAGTTGTAGCGCAACAGTAGAAGGTGAGTCCAGGGTTTTACTCCTGGCTTTCCCACTGACAAGCTGCAAGACCCTGGGTAGTTCATAATCATGTCATGGATCTGTTTCCTTATCCACAGAAGCAGAGCACTGCTAAAATCTGTCTCATGTGCCTTCCCTCTCTGTGACTCTGATCTTGTATGCCACCAAGACAATGGTGAGAAGGGAGATGAGATCCCCTACCATCCCTACAAGACAGAAGGAGGGAATAGTGAGACAGAGACTCTTCCACTTCCCCTCTCTGCAGAATCTATCATCTCATCCCCATGGCAGCCCAGAGCTCCCAGGCAGTCCCCGTTCAGAGTCACTTAATCCTCCATCTATAGTTTAATTAAGATGGGTGAAGGGCCGTGGGAGCTGCAGATGATAGGCGATATCCCGCAACAAATACCCCAAGTATGCGTCCAATCTTCCCCACCACTCATGCTACCTCTACATTCTTTGAGATTAGGTTTCCCGATCTTCTCAGTGCCCGTGAGCACAGCTGTCGAGTCCAAGGCTCTGGGGCGAGGCTGAGAGGACATATTAATTTTCTGCATGCTGCAGCCCAGAGGGCTTCCCTGCTCCACCTGCAAACGGCCCGGCTCCCTGCTGCGCCCATCCTGTCAGGTCAAATTGCATCTTGCAATTTGTGTTTTGTTGGTTCTATGCCCAGAAGATCATCTGCAAATCTGGTCACAGCCGGATGTATCTGTTTTGCCGCTTCCTGAGAGGGTATTAAATACACCGGACAGGCTGTGATGAGGGCCAAGCATTTTCTCCCCTACCCTTAGACTCTCTCTTCCCCTTCTGCTCCTTTCTACTCCTCACACAGACATTCTTGCTTGAACGGCACACGTGCGCACAGAGAATAAGATATTTCAAGTTAGCAAGGGATTTAAAGGTTAACGTGCCAAACTCTTCATGCAATAAATAGGAAAGCTAGGCCCAACAAGAAGGAAGTTTCCCATATAGCAAGCCATTCCTTAAAAAAACTAAGACTAGATCCTCATGTTCTCTCCAGTTGTCCTTTCCAAGTTGTGAGCCATATCATGAGACCAATGATCTGGTTTATTTAATGATGAAATAGTAAAAATTAAAACTCTCTGGGCCAAATGCCTCCCTGTACTTTGCAATAATTATTTCCAGTATTGTTTTCTCCAGATACAGAATTTTTCTACCCTAAATATCCATACAGACCTGTTACCTGAAGTGACAGCTATATATTGATATCCTATTAATGTTTGATATTGATTGATATCAAGGACATAAACCTGATACTTGTGCATGCAGAAAAATGATGTATGGTACACATGATAATTTTATATTAAATAAATATATAATCTACTTTTTGGTTTCAGGATTTGAACTCAGGAGCTTTATAATCTATTTTTTTAAAAATTAAATTACATAGATTGTAAATATAGGTTATATAATTCTATTTTTTTAAAAAAAGACCCTTATACATATTTAATGCTTGGCTATTTATAAATCATTTCCAAAAGGTAGACTCCAGTATCCCTAAAATATGCCTACCTATTCCTTAGGAAAAGGATATTTTTGAAAGTCTCTTTGAGATAAATGATTGATTTGTAATCCTCAGTAACACATGCCAACCAGAGGCCTGCTATGTGCACAGGGCTCAGATAGCTTCTGTGAGGGCCCCTGGAGAGAAGACATCTTCTACTCTTAGATAGCACTTGACATCTTGACATGAACAAAAGACCATTCGTAGTACAAATTTAGACCACCTGGTAGAGTTTCCTGAATCAAATATTTAGATTTACAATAAAGAACCTGTATTTTTGCAGTCTCTGTACACAATGCCAGTGCCTGCTAAAGATTAAAAACTATTTTTCTTGAAGCTGAGCTATTCTCCAAATACACAGGATTTAATCTGGTCTGTGAACACAAGAGAACGATGCAGCTGGAGAGGACCAAAGCGTCAAGGAGAAGAAGCTATCTAAGCACAATCCCAAAGGGGCAGCCTAAGATGAGTTAGAAGAAAATGAAGAAAGCAGTTTGATTAGATTTGGAGGCTTTTGAAAAGAAAACAAATAATGATATTTGGTTCCAGGTTATTGGCTTTCTCAAACAATTAACATTTTGAGAGCAAACCTTACAAGACTGGAGGGGTAGACCTTGGCCACCCACAGTCCACAAGTTTTCCATTCCAATGAGGGACTCAGATTCCACTGATATTCAGCTCTCTTCTTTATCTGGAAAATATCAATGTAAACTTGCTGAAGACTAGGTAGGTTCAGTGTGGTCCTTAAAAGCCAGACAGGTATCCAGTTGCTTAACTCTCCCCCATATTTAGACAGAATATAATTACTCAGAAGTAATTAAAAATTGAGTTCCTCTGCTTATTCTGTATTTGCAAGATATTTGTACTTTGGAACCTACTGGTCCTAATTAGAGCCTCTTATTTTGCAATCACTCATAATGTGTTTCTTCCTGAGCTAATCTGGCTTACAAATGTGTGATCAAGCTATGCACACCTCTTCATTGCTTGCATGCTGACCCCAAGGCAAGCACAGCCAGTCCTTAACTCTGGCTTTGCTCCTGCCCTCCGCCAGAGATCGAAAATCGCTGTGTTTGAGAAGATGTGGACGTACATGAAGTCAGCAGAGCCATCAGTTTTTGTGCGGACCACAGAGGAGGGGATGATCCGAGTGAGAAAATCCAAAGGCAAATATGCCTACCTCCTGGAGTCCACCATGAATGAATACATTGAGCAGCGGAAGCCCTGTGACACCATGAAAGTGGGAGGTAACTTGGATTCCAAAGGCTATGGCATTGCGACACCCAAGGGGTCCGCCCTGAGGTAAGTAGCCAGGATTTGCTTCCTTCCTACTCCCTCTCCTCCCCCGCACCCAACTCAGGAAGAAAGCTGCTCTGTCTGCCACATGGCTCCAATGTACCATGCAAGCTACCAAGTGAGTTCTTCTTCAACACCTCTGGGCCTGGAAGAGTCCAGCTACCCGAGACCTTCAGCCCTGAGGTTGGAAGCTGACCCGGGGATCTCAGCTCGCCATGACTGCCACTGCCCACGTGTTCTTCCCCACCCCGCACCTTATCCTTCCATGTGTGTTAGACGTCAGTGAGCCCTGTGCTTTCTGTCCTGTGATCTGTAATATTTCATCCTTTACCCGATACCCATGGATCAAAGTAGGCTATAAACAAGGTTCTCTGGCAACCTGAATTTTTAAACAGAGATGGTTTGTAATATTTGTCTCAAAAGAAACATAACCACATTGTCCAGATTGAAAAAAATCAAGTCGTTTGAGGGTTTTTTTTAATGTATTTAGTACAGAATCTACACGGTCTCATTACACAGATCAGACTCACAGCAATCCTCCTATTTTCAGCCTCCCACACACTAGGATTACAGGCCCACACCACCACGCCCAGTCTCAATTGCCCTTTCAGTGAACCCTGGGGGCAGGGCTGGCAAGGCATGCCAGGAATCAAACCCTGGTCCCTGCATCTCCCTAAGCAGGTGCTTTAATCCACTGAGCTATCTGACAAGCCCTAAGTAGTTTGAGTCTTGAGGCTGTGGTTGTAGAAATCCACATAGCTCCTAAGAAAGAGCACCAAATTGATAACAGCACGTGTTCTTACCTACATACTCATTTCCTTCATAAGATGCAGGTAGTTCAGGAAAGTGGCAAAGTGGATTTTACTTCCATGGAAAGAAGCTCTGGTATTCATTCTGAAGAACTGAGGATGAATGCTATAGGCTTGGAGACAGAAGACCTAGATTTAATTCTGGAATTCATTACTGACTGACTGTCTTACAGGTGGTAAAATATGTCATCTCCCAAGCCTCTATTTCCTAAGCTGTAGAGAGCAGATAATCCCCCTAGACCTGGTCCAAGGTGCTTATGGATTCAAGTAGGATGATCTGTGAAGAAGGTAACTGAAAGGACAGTGAAACATCACTAGTGTGAAATTACATCACTTAGAGAAGGATTAAATCATTTGAAGGAAGGGTGAAATTCCAAGGAGAAGTATTAATACGGGCTGGAGGAGGACGGAGGGGCTCACTGCCCAGCTTGACGCAACAGCCAGGCACCTCTGCCTCAGCTTCACTCATTTCAGGACGCTTGAGTTCCAGCACTGTTTGAGGCACTGATGTAAGAGCTTGAGATACAGCCTTGAATAAGATATAGGCCCTTTGCCCATGGACTACACTATTGTGGGGAAACAGACATTAAATAAATGGATATTATCTAATGTTTTGTAACAATTATGATACATACTAGGACAACCTATAAGACAGGCCCTAGAGAGCAGCTATTTCCAGTGATGTGGCCAAAACAAAATTCTCACTATGAAACTTAGATATGCTGGACAAGATATAACAAATAGCCTTTTAAATGCAAGTTAGTAAATCTCTAGGGCCAGGAGGAAAACAGAAATGGAAATCAAAATGTAAAACCTAAAGTAATTATTCTGGGACTACCATAAGCAGGGTGAAGCTACAAATTAGGTGATACTCTACATGCTCCAATAGGACAGCTAGACACATAAAAGTAGTAAAAAAAAAAAAAAACATTTAAAAGAAAAATTTGTCGCTAAAGCTCAGATATTTTTGATAATGTTTGATTTAGAATTTACAGTAATGAAATATATTCTGTGCTGTGAAATCTTTATTTTTATAGAGAATGCAACATAGTATTGGAGGATGGAGTATAGGTGATATTCTAGAGGAATTTTCTAAAATCTATGGAAAGCAAACCCTCAGACTTGAAAGTTCAATCTCTGTTGGGTTAAATAGATGAAAATCAATAGTGGTTTCCAATTGAAACTGCAAAACAATAAAGACCAAGTCAGGTCTCAGACTCACTGGTATAAGATGGTCCAATCCAGTCTGCTGTAGACATGGGGTCCTGCCTTGGGGATCTCTCCAAGGGTGCTTTTTTCCAAAGCTGAGGACACACACTGACAGCAGTAAACAGGTGAGTGACAGGAAGCGACAAAAGAACAGTGCATGCAAGGTCTGTGGCAAGAAACCACAGCAAGCTTGCTACAGAACAGAAGGAAACTAAAGGATGCCAGGATGCAGGCATGAAGGAATGGGAAGCCGAGATCGGAGAGCAAGGTAGGAAAGAATTTTGTAGAGGAAGTTTGTCCTTATTCAAAGAGCAGTGAAAGAGATGGCAAGATGGCTCAGTGGTCTAAAACACCTGCTTAGGCACGCTTAGGCAAGCACAGGGACCACAGTTCAATCCCCAGCACCACATGCTGTGCCAGCCCTGCCCCCAGGATGGGCTGAGCCTGCCACACAAAAAAAAGCAATGAAAATGCTTTGAAGAACTCTACATAACTGTCTGAGAGTTAAAAGAATAAAGATATCTGCTGGAACATCGACGTGATTAATATGACCTAATGAAGGGAAACCTAGTAACCTGGTATTTATCTACCAGATTTTTGCCTAGGAGAACTTTAAAGCCTTTTTGTACAACTTTGAGCAAAACTTAAAGATCTAGACAATCATATTCATCAAAGAAGAGATTTTCATCTTAGAAACTCACAGAACATCCCCCTAAAGAGCTTTGAAATTACAGAACTGTAGGTGCAAAACATCAATGGCCCTGCAGTATTATAATTTACTGGAGGTTTTAAGAGTCGGGGGCATCATTTGATCTAAATATTTGGCAAAGTTAAGAAAAAGAAGACACTAGAAGGTGAGGTGGTCAGTACAGCATTTGGCTAGCCTATTCCACACACAGGGGCTTAGAGAAAATGACAACTCAATAAATATCGGAAATTTGCATGACTTGAGCCTAAAACTCAAGGTGATCTGCACTCACCAATAAAAGCCACCACTGCATGAGTGCCTGAGTGTCACCCAATGTGGTGTGGACATAATCCTCACAGCTTCCCTAAATTATCCCCATTTTACAGATGAGCGAGCAGAGGAACAGAGATAAGTTATCTCCCCAAACCAACAGCCAAGGAGCTGAAACCAGACCTCAAAGCCAAGCCAGCAAACTCCAGAGCTTTTGGCTATCACTGAAGCTGTGTTGGACTTTTGACACCAGCACCATTAAAGGCAAGATAGGGGACTTAGCCAGGTTCTCTGCACTATTCACGTGGGCCAGGTCTCTAACCACAAACTGAAGAAGGAAGCAAATACTCTTAGAGCCCAGAATATCCATTCCCACTCTGAAGGCAAACTGCAAAAGCAGATGCCACTTGAAGGCACCGAGCACCACTACTGTAAGTGGGAACAGTTTTTATAGATTCCCACACTCAGAGATTCCTTTTGTATTAAATTCTTGGAGGAAAAAAGTCAACCCCATAATACAGAAAACCCTAATTCTTTACTTATACTTCTAAATTTGAGAAGGAGAAAGGGAGAGAGCAATATGTTTCAGGACACTGAAAGCTGACCTGTGTGTCATGAATCCCAGATGCTGGCCAATTCCCTGCTTTCTCACCACACTCTGTTCTTCTCAGGGGCGTGCTTGCTAATGACCCTGACAACAGCTGGCGATGAATCAGAAGACCAAAGTTCATGCTAAGATGACCTTGAGTATCTACCTTGGGGAAATCCATCAGAGTGTAGAGGTTCCATGAAACACACCATGGAACACTAGTTATAGTGAACACACACACACACACACACACACACACACACACACCAGGTCCCTATCCTACTTTTGCCTCACACACCCTAAGTGGTCACTCACCAAGGTCCTGTCAAATGCCAGCGTCATGGCAGAGCAAGGGCCGCTGACATGTCTCCCTGCTCCAGCTGGCTAGTTCCACTGAGGTGACCCACGAGAGCTCTGCCTGGCAGAGACAGAAGGTGAGTAGGGAGCGTGCACAGCAGGCTGTGTCTCCTCTGGACCACTGCAGAGGGACTGATGGCTGCCTGACAGTGTGGTCTTGGAAAGCAAATCAGTTTGTTCTTTATGTTATTTTGAATCATCAAATACTTTTTAAAGGACTGATCAGCCACTCCCAGAGGAAAAAAAAAAACACTTAGAGGTGTTTATGCTATGGAAATGTGCTTCAGTGCACTCCAGGCATTGCGAGAAACTTCTCTTTTACACTATAAAAGCCAGGGATTTTGCAGCCTGACACAGATGTTCGCCGGGCTCAGTACCTGTGCTTACACACAGAAAGGATCTGTTTGGTGGTCTCTGTCTGCCACTTGCATTGTATAAGGCTAGAACACACCACACCTGTGGCACATTCCTTCCTTCCAACCTGTCCTGAGCAGGCTCCAGTTTCTTCCAAAGCATAGCACCTGGCTCTGCCTCAGGAGACCAGAAGACTGATACCTAAGATCCAACTGTTCCTCCTCCTAAATGTGCCAGTTCTACTTGGCAGAACCCAAGTCACAGTCCCCACAGAACACTAAACGGCTGTGTTAATGACTGAGTGGTTTTTTGTATCTTCTGCACTCTGAACAAATACTCCGATGAAGCAAGGTGGTTCAATGCTTGATTTTCCATTTGGACAGGTGGTGTTTCTTAGAGACAGATGCTGTTTGTTGGCTGTCACTGCATGTTTGGTGTTGGATTAGGGGCTGAGTTGTTTCATAAGCCCTTAGGTTGTGGATAAAGACCTACACTGACAATGCTGCTCACTAGGGAAAGGCAATTGGTAAATCCACTAATTATGATCTATTGGCCTTTTGTTGTCAACTAAACATATCTACTGATCTAAACAGTTCTTTTTTATGATGATAAATTTGCCCTTCAGTTAGAGATGATGTGTTCTAATTTCCTAAGTAGGCATGTGTGGTGGACTTCACAGCAGATTGGCCTTAGTAAAATTTTCAATGAAGAATTCTCCTTCATCTATCAG